TGATGCCGGCCAGAGTTTTTTAATTGAACAATTTGACCCGGGTCAAGTTTAACTTGACCTAAAAACCAATTTGACCCGTAACATATATAATGCAATATTCGACAAAGTATACCTCCTTAAATGTTTATAATAACTTACCTAGATTCATAATCATCACCGCCCATTAGGTCACTTTCATTCAGTTCAATATCTGGGCTTGCTTCTCTTCTATAATAATTATTTCGAGCTCTTTTCTTTTCTATTAAAGCTTCTTTACCTTAAAGGAAATATATATATATATATATATATATATATATATAAGAATCTTATGCGATCACAAATTTTCTAATGATGACGACATACCTGTAGCCTTCGGCACTAATTCTTCAAGAACCATATCATGTGTTGCTTGAAAATTCTTACGATCTTTTTTTCGTAGTGCTCGTTCATACCGCTCTTTGTCCTCTTGATCCAAATCTACGGGTCTCGGAGATGTGATGAACATTAAGGCTAACTAGAAACTTTTGTATACAACCTTTGAGAACCGTCTCACCTTCGTTATATTCAACTGACCCTCGAACAGGTGGCATAGACGGTCCTGTAATAAGAATTTACTTTGATAAAATATTTTGTGTTTTATTTAACATTATTTTAAGATAGAATACCAATGATCCTTTTAGGGGCTTCATTTTTAATTCCACTTGATCTCATTTGTACCTCGGTCGCAAATTTTACATTAGTTTGTCGGTCCACTGAATGCTTGATAGTATCAAGTTCATCAAGTTCATGCTGATTAACTTTTAAATGTTTCCATTTATATCGTGTGGTCTCTGAGCTTGTCAGTTGTGATGATCTCATACCATCATAATATTTCTCTAAAGTACAAAAAATAAATAAATAAATTAATAAAAATAAAAATACGTGGTCAAAAACTATTAATGATGATATATTCTTAACTGTTTAATTTGTATTTATTCCAAGCACTGACGAATTTCTTAAAATATCGGCGCGCCTGCTCAGAAGACAATTCATCGAAAAATTTATCTTTTTTTTCTCTAAGCCAAGTACGAAATTCTGCTGATTTTGTAAAGTAATCGTCCTCCGAAATAGCTATTTCAAGGTTTAAATTAGATTTAAGTATATTCTTCGAATATACTAATAAAAAAAGAGGACACACGAGTTATTCCTTTAGGCAATTTAGTTAAAGCTTCGTCAGAATCACTCTCGGATCGTTGTCGCTTATGACTACTTTTTTTTTTATGCTTTTTTTCCTTTTTTGATTGTATGTATTCTTCGTCCTCATCCCGTATTGAACGGTGTTTTTTTCGTTGAGGTGATTCTGATCGTGAACGATCACCTCGGCGTGAAGACATCTCCAATTTTTTAAGTAAAAGGGGATTTTCCAGTGTGTAGTGTTCAAGTATACTCCCTATAAGAATGTTCAGGATTATGATCCGGCATAATATCCGAAAATTTATTTTTCGATTTTTTTAACAGCTGCCTCACCTTGTTTTCCTGCGTTGCGAATACAATGTAAAATTTCCAATTATATTATATAATATTATATAATTGGAAATTTTACTTTGTATTCGCAACGCAGGAAGAAGCTCTCTTTAGGCGAACCTGGGTTACATTCGACGTACCCCGATGCACTTTCGACGCACTAAAGCCCAGTTGGGTGAAATAGAGTTTGGAACCGTTTTTATTTCATATGTTAAAACCGATTAATACTGGTTTTAGCATATGAAAAATAAATCTTGATCACCTTAACAGAATCATGTGGGTAAATTTTTTACTATTAAATTTGAGTGATCGAAATTCATATGATCGAGCTATTTTTAATAGTAAATTGCACCTTTATCGTTAATTTCAAGGGTCCTCTAAAAGGAAACTGCATTCACGGGATAAATAAAACAGTTCATAAGGTAAATTCTTTATTATATGCAAGTTTGAAGTGCTAAAGCGACTTTCCTATACATATTCTTATTATGAAAATTACTACAAATCACCACTGGTGATCATCACCGGTGATTTACGAAATATAATTAGGTGTAACGTGTAAACTTTTTAAATAAAAGTTTATTTGTTTTAATATTAGGGTAAGGGTAATGGTTTGATAATAAAGTTAAACAAAACCTATAGTAAAATTGTGCAAGAAATTTTTTTTTGTTAGAGACCGAAAGGTGGTTTCATAGACAAAATTTTAAGATATGATTGCTTTTTTAAAAAATTCTTTGTTTTTGTTATACAAAACGGATCTGCACATTACACCTGATCTTGCAAATTAATTGGCTAATTATGCACTGGTGATGATCACCAGTGGTGATAAATAGCAAATTTCTATTATTATTATTACTGTATTATTATTATTATTACTGTATTATTATTATTATTACTGTATTATTATTATTATTATTATTACTGTATTATTATTATTATTATTATTACAAGATTTTAGAACTATTTTATCTCAAAAATAAGTTTAGCCTAATAAATCAAACTATTTCTATTATAGTTTTATCAGGGAAGTCTACTATAAGTCAGGACCAAACACTAGGGAAAGTTAAAAAAAAGGAAAAAAAAGAGATGGAAAAAAGAAAAGAGGAGGAAAAAAAAAGTTTTCTGTTCATGTCAATTAAAAAATTTATAGAA